TCGACCAATCAGTGAAGCTAGTCAAACAGATTTGTAATACTCAATTATTTGATGCATGGAAATTATCTCACAACTTGTGTACAGTTCGGACAGTAAGCATTAGAGCTTCGATGATGTGGAAATTGTGCCAAAGGCTTTAGGTCAAATCAACTCAGCAATATTGGAGAAAACCAACAGTACAAAGCGAGAACAGCAATAGGACGGCAGTTAATTGAGCTGAATCGTTTGTTTTCTAGCTCATGGGCATACTCATTAGAAATGTACTCCCTCCGTTTTTAAATATAAGATGTTTTAGGTGTTCCACATGTTGTCTAGATTCATACTAAAATGAATGAATGTACACACTAGAGCATGTCTAGATACATTTGATACGTGTGGAAGGTGGCCAAAAGCTAAAGCATCTTATATTTATGAACGGAGGGAGTACAAGCTAGATAGTCACTAAAAAATCAAACTTAATCAAATTCATCCACTGAAAGCCTCAAGTAAATTATAATGCATCATTTTATGAACTGATACTTCCTTCGGTTCAAATAGACAACGCCTTTTTTACTCTGCACAGTATCAAAAACAAAACATTGGCAACTACTCCTGACGAGACAAGTGTTTAGTATGAATCTAGACATGTCATTTTTGTTAGGAAATATGCAACTTGTATTTCCAGGTGGCCATAGGCCAGTATATATACATGTACAGGTGTGGAATATATGCAGGAAACCCCTTATACAATAGGGTAAATACGAAAGGTTACATGACTCTCTCTCTATATATATATAACTCTAACACCCCCCCTCAAACTCATGGTGGATTAACAACACTGAGTTTGGAGAGATAGAAGCCATGTTGCGTTCTAGTTTGGGCCTTCGTCAGAAAATCCGCCAACTGTAACTCGGAAGGCACATACTGAAGAGCAATAACCTAATCCTGCACACCAGCGCGCACATAGAAAGCATCAACACCAATATGCTCGGTGAGCTCATGCTTCACAGGATCGCGCGCAATGCTAATAGCACCTGTACTGTCAGACAAGAGCGGAGTAGGTGTAGTAACAGAAACACCAAAATCCTGAAGTAACCACCGTAACCAAGTCACCTCTGCCGTCAAAAGAGCCATAGCTCATAACTCAGCCTCTGCACTCGAACGGAAAACTGCAGTCTGTTTCTTCGTCTTCCAAGCAATGAGAGAACCACCAAGAAAAACACAGTAAGCAGAAAGTGAACGGCGATCGGAGGGATCACTAGCCCACGTAGCATCTCAATAGGCCTGAAGCTGTAAAGAACTGGAGCGAGCAAAGAATAGACGGTGAGAGATCGTGCCCCGAAGATATCGGAGAACACGAAGGAGGTGACTATAGTGAACCGAAGTGGGGGCGAAGACAAACTGACTCAAAATATGAACCGGATAGGAGATATCCGGACGAGTGACAGCTAGATAGACAAGACTCCCAACAAGATGACGATAACGCGTCGGGTCAGGCAAGGGGTCACCATCAGTATCACGAAGGTGAACATTGAGCTCCATGGGAGTCTCAACAATGCGCTCATCGGTAAGAGCAGCACGAACAAGAAGATCCTATATATACTTTTCCTGGGATATAAAAAAGCCATCAGAGGTACAAGAGACTTCAATTCCAAGAAAGTAGCGTAGAGGTCCAAGATCAGACATAAGAAACTGCTCACTAAGACGGGCCTTTACAAAGGCAATATACTCGGGGTCATCGCCAGTGATGATCATGTCATCAACATAGAGAAGAAGAAGAATCCGACCACGAGGAGAAAGGTGGACAAACAATGCTGGATCATGAGCACTCGCTGAAAAACCAGCGGCAGTCACCACAGAGGCAAAACGCTCAAACCAGGTGCGGGGGGCTTGCTTAAGGCCATAGAGAGAGCGACGAAGATGACATACCATGCCATCAGGAACAGAATACCCAGGTGGTGGTTGCATGTATACCTCCTCACGTAGCTCACCGTTAAGAAAGGCATTCTTAACATCAAGCTGAGATACAGACCAGTGGCGTGCAGAGGCCACGGCAAGAAGTGTACGGATAGTGGTCATATGGGCCACAGGAGCAAATGTCTCATCATAATCACGATCATGCTCCTGCTGAAAACCACGAGCCACAAGACGAGCTTTGTAACGCTCAAGAGAACCATCAGAGCGAGTCTTAACCTTGTAGACCCACTTACAAGTGATGGGACGGACACCGGGAGGAAGAGAAACAAGATCCCATGTACCAATGCGTTCAAGAGCAGCAATCTCCTCTGCCATCGCAAACTGCCATTCAGGATGAACAGCAGCCTCACGATAAGAAGTCGGCTCAAGAACAACAGCACCAGTGGTTGAAAAACCAAGGCGATCAACAGGCGGAAGCGGGCAAGGACGCAAGCCATAGGTTGGCTGAGACGAGAAGGACGACACATCAGCAGACACATCCACATTACGTGAACGACGAGTGTAATACTGAGGCAAAGATGGAAGAATACGAGGAATAGCCGAGGTAGAATCAGGAGGTGGAGACGAAGAAATCACCGAGGATGAAGTTGCAGAATCTGGTGACATGCGAGGTGAGGAAACCGTGGGAGAAAGACATATGAAAAGAAGCTCCGGAGTCCAGAACCCACGAGGATGTACCTGACTGTGTAGAGCGTGGTTGCTCAGTGCGGGAAGCATTAGTCACAGAACCTGCAGTACCCGCCGAAGGAGAACCTGAAGCGGCAAGCGGACGCTTAAGTCGTAGAATATCCTTCTCAGTCAAGGCGGTGGCTGAAGATGTCGAAGTAGAAGAAGTCCCTGAAGCTGATGATCGCGCCTTACGCAGGTGTTTCTTCTTCTAGAAGCACTGAGACTCAACATGACCATCCATCTTGCAGTAGCCGAAGTGAGGACGAGATCGACCCTGGCCGCCCATAGGAGTAGGCAAGAGCGGAGGAGCACTCGAGTGGGAAGGAGTCAGTGCAGCAGTCATAGCAGGAACTCGAGTAGCGAGCACAGAGGAAACCTCAAGTAAACCAGCACCACGGAGGCGAGTCTCCTCGGCACGGATCTTAGAAAGCGCCTCCATGAGGGAGATATGACCACGAGCAAACAACTGAGCGCGCCGGGGCTCAAACTCCTTACGGAGTCGAGACAAGAACTCGTAGACACGATGAAACTCCAAATCAGCCCGCACAGCCTGGCAACACTGACAAGTACGGCAACCAGCAGTGCGGAGAGAATCAAGCTGACGCCAGATAGCAGAACTCTGTGCATAGAACTCATCAACAGTGGAGTCACCCTGCTGAAGAGCATGCTCCTGACGAACCACAGACAGGTATAAGGCATCACCAGAGGGCTGATAGCGCTGACGAAGCCGAGTCCAGATCTCAAATATAGTAGAGAGGCCAAGAAACTCAGAGGCAAACTGAGGCAGAACACTAGCAGTGAGAACAGCGGCAGCACGAGCATCATCATCAAGCCACTGAGTGTAAGCAGACAGAGCTGCATGATAAGTCTGAAGTGCGTGCACATAGGTCTGAACTTGCTCATCATAAGCAAGAACGGCAGCGTCATCAGCCAGCTTAGCGGCATCCTTTGCAGCCTGATCAGCGTCGGCAGCAAGAACCGGTGGCGTCGGTGGAGTAGGAGCCACAGGAGGAACTGGACACGGCGGACTGGGGACCTCGCCAGAAAGAACGCGCCAGAGATGAAGGCCACGCATGTGAATGCGCATGAAGCCGACAAACTCAATGTAGTTGGTACCATCAAAAGTCATCGGACAGCGAGGAACAGCAACATAGCCGGAGGACAGAGACATCACGCCTTTTTTTTGGATAGACGATCAGGATCCTGGATCGAGGGCAGGTGGGACCCGGCTACAGTAGCGACGACCTGGCGGCTAGATCGTGGGCAGGACCTGGCGGATGGGCAGGACTGCGGTCTGGGATCCGGGATTGGTAGCTGGTGGCTGAGATCCTGGTCCAGGACACGATCTGGCGGGCGACGGAGCTTGTACGAGACGGCGCCTGGGTTGGTGACGAGGCGAACAAAGACTGCGGGACGAGCGACCGATGGGGAGAAGCCCCATCTGTGGAGCGACAGCGACCAGATCGGAAGAAGTAACCAGATCGGGAGAGGCCCAAGGCCCAACTGCGGGGCAGGGCGGAGCGACCAGATTGATCGGGAGACCTGGCGGGCGATCAGATCGATCAGGAGGGGCAGAGGAAGACCGCGGGGCGAGGCAGGCAGATGAAACCCAGCGGCTGGAGTAGCAGATCAATGGCACGAGTTGCGGCGTGTAAAAAATTGACCTAGCTCTAATACCATGTTAGGAAATATGCAACTTGTATTTCCAGATGGCCATAGGCCAGTATATATACATGTACAGGTGTGGAATATATGCAGGAAACCCCTTATACAATAGGGTAAATACGAAAGGTTACATGGCTATATATATATAACTCTAACAATTTTGATCATGGATTCAGTACAGAAATTATTAAGCATCTATAATGACAAAAGTCGGAGAAATTATACTGCACATAAACCACTACAACAGCCAATATGTACTTTGGATAAGACACGCTATGTTGGAGGTTATGAGAATTAGACTGACAAATAGATATACGTCGTGAAAATATTTAACTAGACCTGCCTAAAATTAGCATAATTGTACAATATTTGCAAGCGAGCATTATGTATTATAATGTTCCTGGATGAGCAGTAATGTGAAATGTTTTCCCTAAGAAAGCAATAGTGTGAAGCATGTATAACAAAGGAAGTATGAAGCCAAGAGCTGAGGTGGACAGGTGGTGTTAGTTACCAATACAAATCTGAATTCAGGGAACAACAGATAAATCATCCTCAAACTTGACAGATCCATAACCACAGAAAAAAAAATGCGACATAGCAACCAGGAAAAGGAAAGGAAAGGGAAAATATTTCATTCTGCTACCACTAACAAATAGTCACCTGACCAATACATCACGAATTCAAGATAGCATCTATCCAGACAGATCATACTATGTATCGCGCAAAAGTTTAGCTCCACCATGTCCATCATCAATGCGAGCATCTACAAAAATAGGAAGTCAAGGAACCAATGAGATTCCAACGAACATTTAGATAAACACACTGCTATAATTCGAGAAAAAAATTCAGTTCTATCTCATAATGAAACCCTTGACCATGTCAATAGGCCTGCAACAATAACGAAAATAGTTCACTTATTATACACATAATATGCCAATCCACCTCAAATAAATTGCTTCTGCAAATCATCATGTCCGTTGTTTTACTGTATGGACATCCATAGAATAAACAGATGAAGTGTCTGCTACCTCTGACTCAAACCACATAACACAATAACAACAATACAAGACTATATAATACTAACTTTGTTTCTTTTTACCTGCGGTATAGACACCTTCAAATGGATAAAAGTGAAACCAGCAGTAGGATTCAAAAAGTTTCTTAAACTGCAATGATTCAAACTGGACCATGAAGATGCCGATAAATGTCCGCACTAACACCGCATTATTGTCCTCAGCAAACCAGAGTATCCTTGGGCTTTGACTCCCCTCCTCTGAATTCATGGAAAGTGGCTTGTCTAGTGCAACAGTTCTTCCCAGCACCCATGAAGCTACACCATCACAGTCCGTCTTCCTCTTCCATAATTCGATGCAGTAGCCCGACAGGAAGAGGAAACCAAGGCCACCACCCTCCGCATGCATAACCGTGAAGGAGCACCTCCCCGCATCGACGTCCACTGGCACATCAATCACACTTAGGCTCTGCCTATCCACATTAAATTCAAGTATTCCAAACCAATTCCCAGTAAGCATCCAGTAAATGGAACTCCCAACCATCACAGAGCAGACGACCAAAATCGTGGTGGGTACATCACTGGTAGGATCCTTGGTCGGAAGCAGTGTCGAGGTGAGATCACCCCATACACCGGTCTCCGACGAGTACACCAAGGCCACAGCCTGTGTAAGCTGTACGTCGTTGTTGCCTACCAAGACAACCTGGAAATGGTGGGCCTCTCCGGCAGCACGAAGCACCGCCCCGTTAATCACGGTTTCCTCCTTGTCGAACCCTGGGGGGATGTCTAGGAAGTGCTGGTCACCCGTGACGGGATCCCGTACCAGGAGCACGTTCAACGTCCAAAGAGAGATGAGCATGAGGCCATGGCGGCATCCGAGGATCATGAAGGCGTCGCGGGCGTCGATGGGAAAGGAGAAGCGGGCTTCCGGGACGCGATTGGGGGCCTCCAGCGTAGGTTCGAAATGGACGGTGTAGAGAGTTTGGACGAAGAAGAGCCCAAAAGAAAGGGAAGCCCAAAACAAGGTTTGGAGACTGAAAGCCCACGAAGAGTGAAAACCCCAAGAAGGTTTTGAAGTTTGTGAATTGTCAGGGAAATGAAAACCTCAAAACAACATAGTGATATGTAGGGATGTACCGGATCAACCTACTTATTTTTAGATAATAATAACCTACTTCTAAAAATATGACCACTTGTGTCCTGCAGAATTGTTGTGCTACCTTTTGTCGTTGTTCTCTCTAGAACTCAACTAATCATATTTCTGGATGGTTTTTAGGCGGCTATAATTCATCCCTAGTTCCTACTATGTTTTCTTGAGGATATTCAGAGTTTATTTTAAACATGCAAGTTCGAAATGTTGTGTGTACTGGTGTGGAACAAATGAACCATGTTTCACCACCGTCGCAGTGAACATGATGTTGTATGATTATGAAATGAAGTCTTCCGCAAAAAAAAAAGATTGTGAAATGAAGTACATGTGGCTTTATTCCATCGAAAAACTCTTTTTGGACGTGTACCACTTTTTAAAATAACTCACTATATCAAATAAATCTGGATTTTTTTTGTACATGTACATACGGATGTAAGTGTGTCTTTATAAAATTTCACTGTTACATATTTTCTTTTCTGGACTTCACACAAACAACATTGGCACATATTTTTGTTTGTGATAGCGATGATGTTTTTGAGTTTTGGCCACATCTCTCCTCTCTTTTTTCGTGCTTTTGAACTCTTTATTTATACCCGTCTCATTAATGAATCATTATTTCGGCATCCTTCCTTTCAAGCAATTTAATTTGTCACCTGGGCTTGTTGTATTCAGCAAGCGGTCTTTTAGTTCCGCAATTGGGATGTGAGGGTCATGCGACTTTGTCAAACATATCTGTTGCAGGTTTTTCACTAGAGGCTTGTAAGAACCCACCGATGTGAATGGGTGATCAAGAAACGACAAGTTTGGTCAAACTTTTTTTTATTGTACAATTATTTTTGATATAGTTTACCACTCATGCCAAGTGGTTAAACTTGATGTAACTTTGTTTATACCGAGGGTCTCAGTTGGCCGCGTTTTTTCATACATCAATTTTAGACCCTTTTTACCATCTTTCTTTGATCAATAAAAATTATTTCATTCGCTTCAGTGCTAAATGCATACTGAAGCCCACGAAGAAGCCCAAGGATGTTTTAAAATAAGGAATGGAGGGAGTATTAACAACCTACCTACTTCTTTTTACTTCCTCCGTTTCTAAATACTTGTCTTTCTAGGCATTTTAATAAATGACTACATACGAATCAAAATAAATGAATCTACACTTTAAAATATGTCTACATACATTCATATGTAGTAGTCATTTGAAATGTCTAAAAAGACAAATATTTAGGAACGGAGGCAGTAGATAATAACCTACTCTTAAAAATATGACCACTTGTCACCCTTGAAAGCTTTTGTATGGAATTGAGCCTAATTTCGGTACTGTCAATTGACACCGGTGACCTACTTCCCTAGCAGAGTAGGCGGCGGACCGGAAAGATTTTCTTGCCTTGCTTCGTGAACATTTGCGGTGAGCTCAGGAACACATTAAAGCTCAAACAAACAAACATCGTTGTATGCCGATGAGGTCGGGAGGGGGGATGTGGGAAGGGTGTGATAGAGTCTCTGGATCGGATAGGCTAGAAACTCCCGGTGAACCTACCTTCTCCTGGACTAGATGAGGAACTCCTGATGCCGGCCATGGTGACGGTGGCCGGTGATGGCAGTGAGTGGATGGCGGCGGTAGTGGAGCTTTCCGTGAGCACCGCGATAATCCTAGATCGGTAGGGAATATCGGTGGGGTTTGCGGCAGCGATTAACCTCGTAAGTCGTGCCCCGGCCCCCACCTTTGTTTATATAGCGCGGGTCATGGGGGTCCACCAACCATAATGGGTTGGGCGCCCCCGATCAGGGCACATTGACCAAGGGCCTGGCAGGCCGTTGGGCCTGCACAGAGGAGACCAACCTAACATTCTCACCCTTGATCTCAACTTTATTTTTAACTTTATACTTTCTAGTTTATTTGTTTCATCATATATTGGTACATAGAACATGTTTCATCGTCACAACTTAATTGCCGATAGAATCATACAGCTACAACATACGTTATGTTCAGAAGCAAATTCTATTCCTTTTGGGCCTATCCAGAAATCATAAGGCTTTCCCTTAAACCCATGCCGGCTAAGTGTTTCTTGAACACATTGGGTGGTAAGCCTTTCGTTAGCGGATCCGCAAGCATATCCTTTGTCCTTATATGCTCGAGACTTATAGTTTGATCCTGGATTTTATCTTTCACAACATAATACCTTATCTCTATTGTTTTGGCAGCATTACTCGACTTGTTGTGAGCGTAAAATACTGCGGATTGATTGTCACAGTACATCTTTAGTGGTTTGTGAATACAATCTACCACTTTCAAGTCGGGTATAAATTTCTTTAGCCATATCGCCTGCCCCGTGGGCTCGAAGCATGCTATAAATTCTGCATACATCGTGGATGATGCAACTATCGACTGCTTGGAGCTTTTCCACGAATAGCTCCCTCAGCGAGAGTGAATACGTATCCTGACGAGGATTTTCTACCATCTCTCTTCCCTGCAAAATCTGCGTCGGAATACCCTTTTATCTCTAGGAAATCACTTCTCCTGTATATTAGCATGTAGTCCTTCGTGTCTTGTGCATAACGCAATGCTTTATTTACCATCTTCCAGTGCTCTATGCCTGGATTCTCTTCATATCTACCGAGTACCCCGGTGATAAAAGCTAAGACAGGGCGAGTGCACACTTGTGCATACTGTAAGCTGCCAACAGCCAAAGCATATGGTACTGCTTTCATTTGATCGATCTCGTACTAATTCTTGGGACATTGGAATTTCCCAAAACTATCACCCTTGAATATAGGAGCAGGTGTGGCTCGCATGCATATTATACTTTTTAAGAACCTTTTTCAAATTATCCCTTGTGCGATAGTCCTAAGACTCCATTGTTCCTATCTCGATGAATTTCTATGCCCAAAACATATGATGCTTCACCAAGATCTGTTATGTCAAAATCTAAGAATAAGAACTTCTTTGTTTCTTGTAGTAGACTAACATCACTGCTAGCAAGCAGGATATCATCCACATACAAGATTAGGAAAATATATTTTCCATTTTAAACTTTGCATAAATGCAGTTATCCTCAATTTTTTCTTTAAATCCTAAACTTTTAATCGTTTGATTAAACTTTAGATACCACTGTCTAGAGGCTTGCTTTAATCCATAAATGGATTTCTTCAGGCGGCATCCCATATTTTCCTTGCCTTCCATGATAAAACCCTTGGGTTGTTTCATGTAGACATTTTCTTTTAAATCCCTATTGAGAAATGCCGTCTTTACATCCATTTGATGCAACTCTAAATCAAAATGAGCAACTAATGCCATTATGATTCTGAAGGAATCCTTACATGAGACTGGAGAAAATGTCTCATTGTAATATATCCCTTCTCTTTGCGTAAATCCTTTTGCCACGAGTCGTGCTTTATACTTTTCTACATTCCTTTTAAAGTTATACTTAATTTTATAGACCCATTTGTAGCCTACTGTTTAGACTCCTTTAGGAATTTCCTCTAAGTCCCAAACATCTTTGGAACTCATCGTTTTCATCTCGTCTTTCATTGCCTTTATCCACATCGATGAATGAGGGCTTCTCATGGCTTCTTCATATGAGGTGGGATCTTTTTCTGTATGAACTATTTCCGTGTTATAAACTTTATAATCAGTAGAAATAGCTGACTTTTGGTGTCTTGTAGACCTTCTAAGGGCCTCGGTTTCTGGCACATTCTGTGCCTCAACTTCTGGCACTTCTTCTAAAATTTGCTGTTGCACCTCCCTTTCATGCTCAACAACGGGTTCAGTCGGCTCCTGACGGACAGGTTCTAGTCTACCCCCATAGTTAGCATTGGTGGAGTTGCAACTGATAGTGAGAAAAATGGCTCTGATACCATTGATAGAGTCTCTGGATCGGATAGGCTAGAAACTCCTGGTGAACCTACCTTCTCCTGGTCCAGATGAGGAACTCCCGGTGCCGGCCATGGTGACGGTGGCCGGTGATGGCAGTGAGTGGATGGCGGCGGTAGTGGAGCTTTCCGTGAGCACCGCGCTAACCCTAAATCGGTAGGGAATATCGGTGGGGTTTGCGGCAGCGATTAACCTCGTAAGTCGTGCCCCGGCCCCCATCTTTGTTTATATAGCGCGGGTCACAGGGGCCCACCAACCATAATGGGTTGGGCGCCCCCGATCAAGGCGCATTGATCAAGGGCCTGGCAGGCCGTTGGGCCTGCACAGAGGAGATCAACCTAACAAGGTGGAGTCCAGTGACAGCTAGGGTGTGTGTGGGGGAGGGGGGGGGAGGGGTAGAGCTCTATGGAAGTGGGGAGAAGCCCAGAAGGGAAGCGAGGACGGATCAGATCATCCAAGTTTGGCCCTGTTCGGTACCGCTCCGCTCCACAACTCCAGGAGCGGAGTTGGCGGAGCTGCAGTTCAAATCAGAGGAGCTACAGTTTCGCCGCTCCGTAGATTTTGGGAGCGGGTGATTACCGAACAGGGCCTTTGTGTGCAAGTAAAAACAACTTTGCTTAAGACTTCCATTTCAAAACTCCTCTCCTCTTGGGCTGGATAAATCAAATCCAGAGGAATAATCCGTCCATCCTCTCACTGAAACACAAGGCACGGATACATACACTAGTATCAAACATGGAAGCAATATTGACCAAAACCAAAACTAGCCGTGCAACCATCAGTGATTGCACCATGCCTTCCCCTCCCAACTAATTCTTGCTAATTAACTTCTCCAGCAACACGCAAGGGACCAAAAAACTTGGGACATCTCTTGTTCTACTACCACCACCAGCAGTAATTCAGTACTATGCTCTGCTCTGCTGTATCACCGCTACTACCGCTGCTACTCCACTTCCTTCACAGGCCGCCTGTCGCCACCGCCGCCACCCTGCTGCCAGCGGCGACCTTTGGCGGCGTCCGAGACCCGCTGCACGATCATCGCCTCCGCCGCATCGACCGCCTCCCGTGTCCCGCTGATCACCACCTCCCTGCACCACACACACAGTGCAGGTTAAATGACATTCAGGCGGGCCTGATTTCGCGGGTAAAGAACACGCAAACACCGACTAAAACCTGCTGTAGTACCTACCTCTCGTTCGTCCCAGGTATGAACTCCCCCTTCACGATTTTGATCTGCACGCCCGTAACCTGCACTCCGACGACGAACCATTAGTCCAAAACATAGCCCTGTTGCTTAACTGTTTGTGGTTGCGTTTCGGTGGTGCGGGAGAGATATGTACGTGCCCGTTCGATCTCTTGTATGGTCCTCCCGCCATAGCCAATGACAGCGCCCACGTACTCGTCCGCGACACCCATGGTGAGGGTCCCTTGCACATGGCTGTCGTAGTCAGGCGATCTCACGGGTGTGTCAGGCTAACGAATTCAATGAGAAGATGGTTCAGGTTTCGCGGCGGAGGCTTATTTGGTACACTGGGCATGAACGGTAGATAATTTGCAACCACTATATATGAAAATAGCGAGAGGTGTTTTATGGTCCCTGGATAATGATGCGAATATGAAGCGAAAAGGGACTTGGGACTTAATTGGGTGCATGAAACTACACAAACGTTTGCATATGTAAATCAGATTAACAGGTTAGAGTCAAGCCCACAATTTCATTTCAATAATATGCCTGTTGGATTAGGGTGAGTCCTTTGACAAAAATAAAATATATTTCTTCTTTACAAATATAACAGTCAGCACATGCTTTATATTTTTTGAAGCATAAAATATACTAGACAGTAGGAGTGAACCTACGGTATTTTACATGACTATAATAAGAACTTTAATTTTCTGCATTGAAATTATGTACTTTCTTGTCATTTGACAACGATTACCTCTGACAGAAAATCAAGATTCTACTCTAGTGGATGACCAACAAGCATTACGACAGAATAAAAGAAATAGAGAACAAAACCTTTTTTTTTCTCATACTCTTCTAAACTCCCCTCACTTCCTATTAAATTCTAAACACTTGTTATTGTTAGCCAGACATGTACCGAGAAGAGAAGCTTCATTGAACAGACCAACTATACATGAAGAGAAGGCAATCCAATCCAGGTTAAGAGGATATCTTATCACAACATGTACATGTGTATTTCAATTCAGCAACGATGTCTTACCCTGCTGTGGTATCTTTCGACATGCTCATCTTGCCCATCACCGCCATACCGAACACTTGAACTTGGAAAACTAAGGCCTGAGTTTTTGAGAAATGCGATGAGCCAATTAGTTACTGCAAAAGGTGATAGCATACGAGCTAGTAGGTAGCACCTCAGTGCCAGCAAATTGTAATGCTAATCGATCACGTCGGCACGTAAACATAGCAGAAACGATTAGGAAGCGACGCATTGCTCAGGTTCAATCTTACTGCAAGTCTTTGAGCCTGTGGTAGATAGTCCACTAAACTAAAATGCCTCAAGGCAGACAACATGCAACAAATTGGGTAGCAGGCAATGGATAAAACGACAAAAACAGAAATACCAGTGCTAAATGAAAGTTATGCAGACATACTTGCAACGGAGGATGAGTAGCGGACGTCGTCAAGCAACTCGGACAGTATAAGAAATACTGCCTGCAGCTGATTGTCCAAGTGTCCAGTGATCGTAACCAGTCTATCATGGAAACCGTAGCAGATGTCGTGGGGTGAGACCATGATTCCAGCATTTGACTCCTCAGCTAAGGACCTGGATGATGAACAAAAAGGGGAACAGATATCAGATTTGGAATATCTGAGAAGTAGAATTAAAAGAAGATGAAATATGATGACGGGTGCTGGTGGAGCCGTGGAGGGCAGGCCCCCAAATAGTAAACGCAAGCTAATGTTCTGAATAGTAAATGGAAGCTAAAACTACTCCCATATAGTGGAACTGAAGAAGCAGAGCTGAAGCTGGAACGTACAGCACGCCTCTGTTTACGTGCGATGACATACACAAACATGGCTTAAAGACAGTAATTAAATAACAGCAGCACCGTTGGAACAGATACAGATAAAAGGGTCACTTGCATTGCAATTTCAGCAATGCCGGCAGACGTATTTTTTCATGACGATTCCAAACAAGGCTCCAAAATATGCAATTCCACAGCGGCCAATCAAATGTACTAGGTAGATACGGAGATGACAGAACAGGTAGTATAGTAATGTGCTGCAAACTGTTATGAATTATCCCTCCGAATGGACGAAACTCATGATCACATTTCAGCGACGGCGGCAGAGGAAGGCTCGCCAAACATGTAATTGCGCTGCCGTAAACCAAACATGTGTGTAGATAGATAGAGAGCAAGGGGGGCACTTGCACTGCACCGTCCTTGGGCCTTGTGTGGTGGAGAGCATATATCATATGGTTCATTGCAGGCAGAGTAAGCAGAACAAGCAAGCACAGCAATATTGAGCATGAGAACGGGAAGGCAATGTAAGTAAGTAATCATACTTGATGACCTCCCCTCCTTTGCCGATGAGCGCGCCGCAGCAGGCGTCGGGCACCACGAGCACCACGGTGGCCTCAGCGTCAATCACCTGGTCGCCCTGCAAGCAGAGCAGAGCAGAGGATCAATCCATCAATCAACAGGAGAAGATGAAACTGCTCTGAACCAATTCAGTCGACTGAGTGTAACTCTGAAGAAATGTTTTACAGGGAGGCAGAGGGCGATGGCCCTGAATCTGAATGTCTGGTCTACGACTTTATTACCAGGTAGAAGAGCTTCTCGAGGACGAGCTCTGCGGCGTCCATGACGGTGCGGAAGAGGCCGGAGACGAGGACGACCCTGCGGTCCGTACCGGGGAGGGGCCGGCCTCGCCCGGAGAGCTTGATGTGGGCCCCGGAGCGGGCCTCCATGGCGTGGACGTCGGAGCCGGCCTTGCCGATGATGCAGCCCGCGTCGGCGTCCGAGACCAGGATCCTCGCGTGCGTCCGCCTCTCCCACATCGCATCTGCGCCATAGACGGACGGAATTGAATGACTGGAGTGGAATTAATTTGATTTAAAACCCTCGCAGAACCCTCGTCTCGTGCGCGGAGCAGAGGGAGCGGAGGGGGGAATGCGAGATCGGCGGCGGGCTGCGCGCGCGCGGATGCTCCCGTCGTCGGTGATGGTGAGAGGAGAGAAGAGGGTCGTCGGAGCGGGCGCGGGCTGCGCGGTGGCCTTGTTCTTGCCGGAGAAGATAGAAACCAAGGGGTGGAAGGGAAAGGCGTGGGAGGGAGGGGGGAGAGGGGTGGACGCGGGCGGTACCTTGGCGGCGGTCGTCGTCGTCGTCGTCGCGGGAGGCGGTGGAGCTCGGGGGCGGCGAGGAGGAGGCCATGCCGAGGGGAGCTCCCACGGCGAGGCGTGCGTACGGAATGGGGGGAGAAGCGCAAGGGAAAAGGGGGCGTTGTTCTGTTTTCGGATGTGTGTTTAGGGATAAAGGAGTGCATTTTTCTAACCGAATTCCCAAAATTTAACTCATCAAACACTTGCTCAAACCTTAACTCACTCAACTTAGATGCAAGGAGTTCAAAAAACTAACTCCCTAAGAAAATCATTATGCGCCAACTCTTCTATCTTTTCGTTTACGTGCTCCGTTTTCAACTGGATATTTGCACCCGTACTAAGTGAGAACTTGATAACTTAGGTTCACACAATTCAACAATATTACAAATTCAAAGTTTACAAATTTAACTATTCATATTCAACAACCATTGTCTGGCTCGGGTGGCTTCTGTCCTTCCGGACAGTTGGTGGTGTCCTGGTTTCGTACCCTCACATGAGCAAATTTTAGATTCATTGGAGTAGTGTTGGGAACTGATCTATCTCCTAGCAATCATTGGCAATATTTCTCTTGGTGTTACTCTTTCCTATTTAGTGAGAAATTTTTTCACACTGCGGGCCTTGCTGTCATTTGGTTTTCTCGAAATCGAGCAACATTTGAGCACAAGATAATTAAAACTCCTTTTGAGATCATATTTTTCAGTGCTCTTTTCTCATATATATTTTTCAGTGCTCTTTTCTCACAAAGAGGGTGAAGCAAGTAGACTGCGAACTGGAGTTGACATGATTCGCTCTAACACAATGAACGTGATGAGGATCTCCATGAGGTCGATTGAAGGGGGGAGTGAAGATTGTGCGCTATGCTCTAGGTTCAACTAGTGTTGGAGGGTGTCTTCATTTCGCAGCATTGGATGTTGCTTGTCTGCTGTGTTATGGGTTCATGTTTAGAACCTGATTTCTTTTGCCGTTGGTCGTAATAGTGCTAGTTTTATTTTGGCGTTGCTCTAGGTTTTCTCCCCATAGTATCCGTTCGACATCGGGCGTTTACAGTGGTTTCCTAGTTGTGCATTGAACTCGCTATCCCAGCTCTAGATTTGGTTTGCACCGTGTTCCAACTCGATAGGATCCCCATTGGGGTTATAGCAAAAGTTTTTTGGCATTCCTCGCTGATCCACAATGGTCATGATTTGTCAGAAGACATGTGCCTTTCAATACTCGGTAGGATCACAATCAAACACAGAGCACTTTTGAAGCACATGAAAAGTTCTCTCAACATGCTTTCTTGTTGACTCTTGACGTCCTACAAAGAGGGATCTCTTGCTGCCTTGAGGATGTTGGATTTGTATTACAATATGGCTCATGAAGGATAGATGCCCTCATCGTGTACTCACGGCCATTAACAACATAGCTGCAAGCTGGAGCATCTTTGGCAGCAAGGATGGTCTCGGAAAGACATTAAGGTCATTATGAGAGTTGGACTATCCAAAGTACGAGTGCTAAATAGATCCTTAGATGAAACTGCCTCTGGGGTGATGTTTGGATCTTTGCATTGCCTTTTGTGCTAACATTTCCATCATGCAAGATAATTCTTCGTGTCCAATACATAAAATTAATTGATCCAAGCATCCCATTGCCATCCTCGTTCTTCACCCAGACCCATAAGCCTCTTGGTGTCTTCATCATTGGGTGCCCTCAAGTATCTGATATGTAGATCTCGATCACAGCTTGCGTGAATTTTCGAACCGCCTCGAGGATTGTGTCTTCCCCAATGTGGAAGTCATCAATAGCTTTGGCTGAGCACCCATTGACAAGCACTTGAAAAGCTGCAAAAAATTTCATCAATGGACTTGCAAAAATTTCTCTCGATGCATTCCTTCTCAATTCCAAGGAAGATGACCCTCCATAGCTTTTGCAATAGTGTTCAAGAGACTTCGGTGCATCCAACATCTCCCTCGAAAATACTTCTCTGGATATGTTGCATCAGGCGCAAAGTAATCTCGGACAAGCTTGGCATGGGCTTCTGTCCTATCACGCTTGACACAAAAGCAACCAAACTGAGGTCATAGTCTCGGTCTCTTGTGTTCTTCCTTGACAATGCCCCCCCTCAAAATCATCGTCATCTTATTCCTCCTACTCGGACAAAGAGACATCGAGAACATCTCCCTTAACCTCTTCATCTACGAATTGCAATAATGAAAGACGAATTTGACTGCAAAAAGTAGAAAACAAAGATAAAAGTGAATAATTGTACCAAGGAGATTCGTCAAAAACTTGGCAGGCAGAGGAGGTGAGAGCCTCTACGGGCCGCATTGCAGCGATGTCAAGGCTGTAAGTGGACGGCGGGGCCGAGTCGATGGCCTGCAGGCGTCAAGGAGCTCGATTACCCTCGGAGTCCTGCTCGCCCTTCGCCGAGCAAGCCGGCCGCATCGGTGTGGTCATGACCCCGAGCAAGTCGGCCGCATCGGTGTGGTCATGACCCCGTCCCGTTTAGCTCAAGTGCGGACGCTCTACGCCATTGTGCTCCTCCAACGAATCCGTTTTCAACAAAACGAGGTTCCACGGTGGCCCTAGTCATCCATAAGCTATATGCGGCATTTCTTGCTGCGGTGGCGATTGAAGCAAAGAAGGGGCGAAAGGTCGGGGGGCTACAGGGCGTCAATAGGCGTGCATGGGGGCCAACAGAGGCAACCCCGACATGGAGGCGGCCGAGGAGGTGGGAGCAGCGGCCGAAAAGGAATCTTTTGTTGAGACTTTCGTTTCGGTTGCTCAAATTTGAGAATTGATGAACACTTCTCATTTTTTAAAGAGGTAAATACACCGGGAGTCATAGAACTTGCACGGGACGTTCAGTTTGGTGCATAAACTCGTAAAATACGTGTTTTTGGTCATCTAACTTGTCCTCTCGTTCATATACGGTGCTTTCTTTTGTATCCGGCCGTACCAGGCACACATGGCGTGCCAATGTCGTGGGGGCTCATTTTCACTGTTTTTTAATCCTTGCATTTTATTTATTTATGCAGAAAATTCTCAAATAAAATTAAAACCAAACTTTTCTGATCCCTTGCATTTTATCTACGCGAACAATTCTCAAATGAAATTGAAAAGACGGGTACATGCTGGGCTTCGAACTACTCGACAAACCTGATGTTTGGTGATTAGTACGCACAGTTAGCTCCATATTATATGGATAATACGAAGAAAGTAGAAATTTAAACAGGAAAAGCTGTGCAAAAAAGGGATAGCCCCGGTTCAAACCTATGACCTCCTGGCTAGCTCACCGCATGTGCAATTATAGAGATATACATAATTTATCTTTTGTATTTTTTCTTTTTTCTATGTAAGAAAATAACTTATATTCTAGATAAACTTTTCGGACAAATCATTCAACTTTTCCCCGCAAAAAAATCATTAAAATTTTGTTTGAATTCGTATAATATTAAATTTGAAAAATCTAGATAGAAGAAATATAGTGCAGAATGAATGTACATGATTTTTTTAGACAAATAAACTACATTTTTGTTTAAATTCGAATAATTTTAACTTAAACAATCTAGTGCAGAATGAATGCACGTATTTTTGGACAAATAGACGGAAATTGTGTTTGAATTCAAATAAATTTAATTTTTTAAAGCTAGATAAAGGAAAATATAGGTCAGAATGCTTGTACGTAAATTCTTCGGACAAATAAACTATTTCTTCTGAATTCGAATAATTAAAATTTTAAAAATCTAGATAAAAGAAGATATATTGCAGAATAAATGTACACAAATTTCTTTCAGGCAAATTAGCGGGGGGTTTTTCGAATACGAATAATTTTAAAGTTGAAAATCTAGATAAATGAAATATAGTTCAGCATAATTTTAAAGTTGTTTTAATTACACAAATATTGTTAAAATTTTAATTTCTTAAAATATCACATACTTTTTTTTACAACATAGAACATTTTTGAAACGTCACAAACAACAAAATATAAGTTGTTTTCTTACATCATTTTATTCCTGCGGGAGTTACACGAACATGTTTTTAGTTTTCGTTTATTCTTTTGTTGGGCTGAGCGAACATAGTATTAAAGAAAATTTTATTTGTGAGTTTGATGTCAATTTATTCTTGGTCGAGTGGCTAGTGTAGTTATCTCTTAGTTTGGAGGACGTCCGTTCTAGTCCCCTGGCGCTATTTTATTCGTCTTTCTTGAAAGAAACTGTGTGCCTTGATGTGCGTAATTAAATAAAAATCAAAGATGCTTTTTGCAAAAGAAAGGTAATGCATGGCTGACCCAACACCTCACCACTCACAGCCCCCGACATGTGGGCCGTATTCATGCTGACACAACACGTGAGCACAAGATACGGCTGGACACAAAAGAAGTGACCGTATTTGCACGCATAGGCAAGTTATGTGACTGCAATGGCGTATTTTACAACTTTTAGCACCAAACTGAACATCATATGCAAGTTATATGACTGTCATTGATATTACCTCTTTTTAAAAGTTAAACCAAACGAGAGTCGGCTAGAGTGGGATTAACTCCTCAAAAGAGCATATTTTGAGACGTTAACCCTTCGAATAGTTCGGCTACAGATGCCCCAACACATTGCTCCACTGTTCACTACACAGAAAATAAAAGAAAGGAAAAACGACTTTAAACATTCAACTGACCAAGTTAAGCCACCGCAATCACACTACACCATGTAGCTGCAATGAGCTTAAATCTCCTAGTGCATTATTAGTTTTTGGTGACAAAGACGGATCTGCCAGTAACCACCGCCGGATTGGTCTGAGTAAATTGGTCAAACAAGCAACTTCTATCCTTGCTACTGTAGTATAATTAACTCTTTGGCTGAATCTGAAACAAGCAACCTCCATATATCAGTACACTAACATCTGAAATATGCTTGCATGACAAAGCATTGCTGGCCGAGCTATCCAGTGACAAATAGCACCAGGACCGCAGGTGCTATATATCCAACATTCATTAGCCAAAATCAGATAAGATCAACCAAAAAAACACACAGAAATGGCACATAAGAAATTGACATCAAAGTCTCCCAACCTTGA